TTTGCATCACTGAGTTTTAGCAAATGTTTGTAGCTGAGCCTTCTCTTCCATCCAAACACAAAGATGCATTATGCTGATGGGATTATGGAAGCACCATGAACCTTTCTTTTGCCACAGGATCCCAAGGAAGCTTTCAAGAGTGTGCTCTGTCATTCAGAACTTGTACTGGGGAGCAAGTGTACAAGAACAAGGAGCTCTGGTGGCACAGTGGCTAAAGCACTTGGCTGCCACCCGAACCAACAGATGCTCCACTGCAGAGATGAGGCCGCCTGCTGCTGCTAGCCTTGGAAGCCAGTTCGCTCCAGCGGCTGTGAATCCAAATCAACTCTACTGCAGCGGGCTTGGCTTCTGTGGGAATCCAAACAGGAACTCAGAACATGCCTGGCTAGATGCCAGCATTCCCAGGGAAGGGGACCAGGCTGGCCTCATGGCAGGGTCAACACCCTTGCCGTTGTCCAACTCAGTGGCCCTACACCCAACAGAAGGAAACACTGCCTGATCCTGGTCCAGCCACGCAAGGGTCTTACAGCTAGCTCAAGTAGAACGTCCTTCCACTAGTGAGTGTCTGAAAAGGGACTGAGGAACAGGTCATCTGTACTTCAAGGTAGTCCCAATCAACTCTTAATCTCCCCCAGGTGAGAAATCTCAACTGAGTGCACCCCTGCACGTAGCATTCCCTTACAAACTCGCACAGAGCTGGACCCTGGACCTTCAGAGAAAGTGAGCGCTGAAATCCGAATCTCTCAGCTGTTAATCACAGCCAGGCTTGGGAATCCATCTGGAACGCGGTATGGCAAGAACACTCCTTAGACGTGAGAATGGCCAGACTGGTTCAGATCCCACTCAATGGCATGAAAGCACAGCGGGGAAGCTGGAGGATGTAGGCACAAACAGGCAACGTGTGAATCCCCTTACAGATCTGACATCTCATTTTCCAGCATCTGTCTACCTACAGTAACCATACAGAATGTTGCTGGTCTTCAACAGTAGCTCACCAGGTCTTCCTGCCCAGCCTTAGTCCGGAAGCTATGCTGAATCACGAGGCACCATAGCAACACATAGGCCTTCTCCAGGACAGATGGTGGCCCCAAGGGATGCACTGGCTGGAAACCCAATCCCATCATTCAGAATGAAGGTCACCATCCTAGCCTCCTCCTCTATAATCACACGAGTAGAAGTGCCCATACACAGGGCTTCCAAGTCTGTACACTCCTGTCAGCAGTTCAAAACCACCAGAGGCTCCAAGAGGGCTTTGTAGTCTTCATGAACAATTCTACCCTTTCCTGTAGGGTGGAAATGCCTTTTGAGTTGTGGCTTGGGAAGACCACTAGCTGCTCCATGGAGAAAGGGTGTGTCCTGCCCCTGTGAAGTTAGTCTTGGAAATCCACTGGGGCCGACTGTCCTATAGGGTTGCTACGAGTTGGAACTGACTCAATGGAGGTTGGCTGGTAGGCCAATTTTCTGTACCCACCCACATGTACCCAGATACTCACTTGTATCTTGTGTTCAAATGCTCACCTTATCCACACTTGGCACCATCTTTCCCATCACCAAAAATAACTAGCTTGCTCTTTCTTCACCCCCACCAATGAGCATCTCTGTGGTCTACTTCTACCTTGGGAGAATTGTCCTCAAAAGCACCGCGACCTCCAGGTCTTTGTATAATGTAGACGACTCAGTGATCCCCATGTCTGTATACCTTTCTGCTGCGTGCTGAGCAGCACAATGTTCCTATCACTTGTTGATGGACACTTGGGCCACGTTCATTCGTTGGCTACTGTGAACTGTAATTCTATCCTCTCTCACTGCCATTGAATCGATACAGGCTCACAGCAACCCTATAGGACAGGAACAGAACTGGCCGAGTGCTCATCTTCCTCCCATTGGGTGGGGCTGGCGGGTAGTTCTGACACATACCCACCCCACCGGAAACCACAGCATTTACCAGATAGGAACACAAAATCATTTAATGCCTATCAAGTTCAGGGAGACTACCCTGTTAACAGAAAAACAATGCATCAAATATATTCTGTGCCGAATCTTAAAGAATAAGACTGGGGTGTTAACAAGTATTAAAGACAGCTGAAGCCAAGATCCGCAGCCTGAGACCATGCTGACGCAGACCCACGACTGCCCTTTGGGTTTGAGGCTGCGTGTTTTCACACAGCAGACTGCCTGTTCTGCAGACAGCTAACCGACAGCAAAGCTGGGCAGGGATTTTGGGTCAATGCACGTAGAGGGAGTGAGAATGGCTTCAAGGCCTAAGCCAGGGCTGTGGTGGGTGGATGTGACACACTTCCTCCAGGCCATGAAATGGGGCACCCGTTCTTGTCACCTCTAGGTTTACAGTCCTACCATGTAAGCTAGTGCTATAACCAGAGCTCCTCTCCAATGTTTCCATCCACACTGGAGGGATCACAGAGACCCAACTGTGGACTTCCCATCACTGGACGGTTGGGGCGCTGAGCAGAAAGCCCTGGTGACCTGCCTTCATACTCCAGCCAAGACAGCGCTATGGGATAGCTCTACTGCCTCGGGAGGCCACGGGTTGGACTGGACCTGATAGCACCTACCCAAGAGCAGTCCCCACTCCCGGGTTTTGTGGTCCACACCCATGGCCCCTTGTTGATCTGATATCCATTAAGGACAACAGTATGACTCTAGGAACACTGGCTGTGGCAGTCAAGGTCGTGTGCCCACCTGGCTAGCCCAGGGAGAGTCTCAAGGGCATCCTCCATTTCCCCACAAAACAATTTTGGCTAAGAACCTGGTCTCAGGAACAAGTGGAGTCCACTCCTTGTTGAAAGGCACCCACGCCAAGCAACCAAGGAAGCCGGGCATGTTTTCAAAAGCAAATCCATCCAGGCAGAGGCCAGGCAACCCCTGCAATGTAAACCAGGAGCTCCACCTTCCCGACACAACCACTGAAGACAAAGCAACTGAATAAGCAAATGTGGTGAAGAAAGCTGATGGTGCCCGGCTATCAAAAGATGTAGCGTCTGGGGTCTTAAAAGCTTGAAGGTAAACAAGCGGCCATCTAGCTCAGAAGCAACAAAGCCCACATGGAAGAACATTATCAGCCTGTGTGATTATGAGGTGTCGAAGTGATCACTGAAGACAAATGGGTGCATAGTCAAATATGGCGAAGAAAGCTGATGGTGCCCAGCTATCAAAAAGTATAGCGTCTGGG